AGCTCCAACAGGCTACATCTGATTTCATATTTACTGTAACAGCACGATGCTCTTTGCCAGATAATCACTTCATTCTTGGACTTTATGAAATTCTTACAACAGACAAATAAAAAGGAGCATCCGTGACTGAGCCAAGTGCAGTTTTTCATAGAGACAAAGATTATATTTGTGAAACCATCTGTCAGGTGTCCAGAATCTCCGTTTACAGTTCTGCTCGTGAGGCCCAAACCACCGAGTGTTTGTGGTAAATATGGACGGAGGAACTTCTTCTGGGCTCTGCTCCAGTCTTGGAGGTTTCAGGGCAACTTGCAGACACTGAAGGAAAAGAATGAACCAGGCTGCTGTTCCCTCTGAACAAAGACAACTCTTTAATAATTCTATGTGTGAACAGATGAAACCATTTCAATGCAGCGTGCTACCAGCTCACGGAGAGGCAGCGCTTCGTATGTTTGACCCGCTTTGTTCAACCTCATGAACCACAGAAGCCTGCCAGCGGGTTTGAAGGACATGAAATCCATTTTTAGAGCCAGAAACTGAATGAACAGAAAGAATCGCTGGATTTTCAGCTTTTATGACCGTCCTAGGACTGAGATCCTGGACACCAACCGGCGACCCTCTGGCTGTGAGGCGACGGTGCTAACCACTGAGCCACCTGCAGCCCGAGCAAAAACCAAAGCAGGAAAATAACAGCTTCGGTTTCGGACGGTTAATGCTAAGCTAAGCTAAATGAGAGTCGATCGATTCACTCGCATGACTCTCAGTGGTTTTTGTGCCACAGCGTTGAAGGTAAAGGAGACGGTATGTTGGACCTGATCAGACTTTACATCAGACATAAACAGATGCTTGGAGGCTGTGTGTTGTGCTTCCACTTTAAACAAACGACAAACAACAACAACAAAACAACAACAGCTGAGACAAACAGTCCAAAGCGCAGACTATTACTGTGCTGTTTCCCCGACAGGCCAAACGAGGACTGGCTGCCCTCGAACTCGCTCTCCGTCTTCCTGCCTCTCTCTAAACACATCATCCATCACAGTCACAAACAGCAGCGGACTGCAGGTAGTCTTGTCTGTCTCCTCGCTCTGAGTGATACGGAGTAAATCTGCCGTGGCATTAATGCAGCAGAGCAGACTGGGCAGGAAACTGGCTAGAAAATGTTTATTAGCTGTTTCAGATAAGGTGCCGGAGGAGGCTTTCCTCCCGACGTGGACGCGCCGTGTTCTCATTCCGCTGAGCACAATATATCACCAGATCTTTGATGTGCTGTTTACAAGGAAAGTTCGGCGTAGACAGAATTTCTCATTCGACGCGTCGTCTCTCTCCGCGGCGGAGCAGCTGTTTTTCCATCCCGGCGTACAAACATCCCGTCGCTTCACATCCCAGCGCTGCCGTCATGACTCGACTGCAGCATGTCAGAGACGCTCGCTTCTCTCTTCGTATTCTCTCCCTGATTTATTTTATTTAGAACTCGTACCTGACTTTTTACACACAATGCAGAGAACGTGTTTAAAGACATATGGAGGGAAACGGTTTAAGGCTGCGGCTCATATCGTCCTCATCCATCACGACTCCACTGAACCACATGCGTTTGCTTTCCTGCAGCCACTCTCACACCTGCCTCTTTCATATGAAGTAGCACATTAGCTAAGCCTTGATGGACTCTCGGGGGACCGAGTTCAAACGCAGCTCCAGTCTTGCGCTCGCCATCAGGTTGCCAGGCAACCGGCGGTGACACCAGGAAGTCACTGCACAGGCCAGGAACTGGTGCGGCGCATCACTGTGCTGCTCTTGCTCTGTTGCACATCTTCACATATTTTTACCAACATGCTCATTCAGAGCTTCAGATTCAGGTTGTGTTGTCTTTAAAAAGAGCCACACTGTGTGTTTACAGGCCTGCTAAGCTAAGCTAAGCTAAGCTAAGCTAAGCTAAGCTAAGCTAACCCGCTTCTGGCTGTAGCTGCATATGAGAGCTGATTTAAGTGAATTAACACGTGTCTAAAAATGCTGCGCTGTTCCTTTAATTTGCTTGTTTTGTCAAATTAACTGCAGAAAACCAAAAGAAAATGTCGTCAGTGCCACTTACACATCCAATATTTGACATTTCTTTCCTGATAAATTACTTCAACAATAAATAATTTATTGAGACAGACGCAGATCAGCCTCCTGAGAAATCAGCTGATTCCTTCAACACAACGTGTTTAGCAGAGTGAGATCCTGAACTGATCATATGATTGGACTAATCTGGTAAAAGTCAGCTGAGAAAGTCTTTAACACGCGCACTTAAACAGCCTGGAGGGGCTCCAGTGATCAGGAATCACGACGTAGAGCCTGGCCATGCACAGTTGGCAGATGAGTGCTGCCAGGCCTGAAAGCGTCCAGCCGGTGTATTAGTCACCTGCCAGTCATCGCTGGGTCCAGGCCAGGAATGGAGGAGCTCGAACACCGAGTGCTACAGGAACAAGTCACAAAAACAGGACCAGACCTCACCGACGGACTCCTGCACAGACAGGAAGCAGAGCCGGCAGCAGATTACTCCCGTAAATCAGTCGTGCTTTTTAAGAAAACAGAAGTAAGAGGATTGAACTGTTTTACAAACTGTGACCAACACACCTCGGCGATGGGATGGTTCTTTTGATCCCCGAGAGCCGAAATGATTCGGATCTCTCTTCTCTGATCTGATGCTTCACAAAGGGGGAAGAGATGGAGGGGAGCAATGTGAGGAGAGAGGATGCAGATACGAGTAGCAGCGAAGCAAGGTGATAAAACTAAAGGGAGGGAGACGGGTGGTGAGCTGGGGGAGGGGCGCACGATGGCGCCGCCTGAGATGAGATTATTTATGGCACTGAGACGGCATGGACTGCAATCTGACAGCTAGCTCTTCACAAACCCTGATCTCAACTTTAAAGATGATCAGGACTGATGAGAACGACTCCAGTAAGTCACGATACATCTGGATGTCTGTTTGGAGTCCAGAGAGGGGACGATGGTTTATGAACGAAGGCTACGACGTGCTCCACATGACAGTCAGCTGACAGCTTCCAGGCTCCATGGCGGCAGACACACGACTCTCTGGGATGTTATTCACGTACGTAAAGCAACAAGCCTGGATTATTATCACCACACTGAGCAGAAACATGAACGCTTTGATTTTACTCCCATTTGTCATGAGCTGGACTCAAACATCTGAGACTTCTTCTGTGTCCACAAAAGGCCGATTTCACTCAGATGCTGTTCACAGGTTTGTCTAAATCTGATTAGACGGCAGGATGACTGCACAGGTGTGCCTCAGGCCGGCCACAATGTTGTTCTACAGAGTTTACCATTTATTTAAAACATTTTAAATAAGAACTAGTAAAATCACAGAAAAGAAAAGAAAAGAAAAGAAAAGAAAAGAAAAGAAAAGAAAAGAAGTCATGTTAAACACTAAGAACAGGCCAAAGTTGTAAATAACATTCTATGTATTTATTTCTTTATTTAGTATTATTTATTATTATTTATTACAGTGCGTATTAATGTACGGACAATCTCAGGTTGTAGTAAACATGCTGCATTTAGCACAAGGCTGATTTCCATCCGGTGTCCGACACACATTAACAGGAATTCATATTTTTACATTTGACCACAATATTGCACTATTTATATTGCATTTAAAGTAATGATTTTTTTAAAAAAAATCATTACTTTACAGATATTTGTAGTTATTTGAAAGAGAAGTTGTGTATGTCACAGACTAAAAAAATCATAATTTAATCATTTAAAACTGTTATGTTGCAGATTTTTCCTGTTTTGTTAAATTATAGATGATATCCAGTAAAATCACAGGAAAAAAGTAATAACTTCCATGTTGACTATGAAAAATCTGCATTTTTTTTCATTCTTGTACAATGTGGGACCTTAAAATTAAACTTTTTCACCGTATTTAAATCAAGAAAAAAACATTATTTTGCAGATATTTGCTGTAACTTTTACCATTTTTATAGTTTTTCAGTGCATTCATATTATTCATATTTCTTTTTCTGTGAAATTTCAGTGTTTTGTTTTGTTTTTTTTTTTACAGATGTTTTTTTTAACATTCAGGTTTGTGGTTCGATGCTCCTCATGTCCACGTGTCCTGGGGTAAAACACCAACCATGTCATCGGTGTGAGTGAGACGCTAACCGTCGTAAACGTGAACATGAGTCACAGACGTGCGGTCCGTCTGGCAGGAGCAGAACCAACATGTATGCTTCAGCGCTGACGGTTATTTAAATGTGGTCGAATGTTTTTAATGTTCATCAGGGATGCAAACGAGAAGAAAAACGCTGCAGTGATTTGGTTTGTTGTTACGCTCTGTGCGGCTTCATCACTTGTACAAACTGGAATTATCAATGTGACGGATTTTACATCACAAGCGAGAGTTTAATAAATACGTGATGTGTTACAACACAGAGGTTTCTGTCTGGAAGGAACTGAGCAACACAGTTCAGATAGTTTCTCCAGAGCAGAGAACAGAAAAGTAAAAACTGCAAAGACTTCTAACCGCCTTTGGTCGTGTTGTTTCCAGGTCATCGGCCGTGAAAGCACAACACCGGAGCTGTGATCACAACCTAAACATGGCCCCGAGTTAAAAACTGTGTTCGCCGGCAGCTCCGGTTCTCTGCAGCCGCTGAACGACAAGCGAGCCCAGCAGCCAGGTTTGGACTCATTAACTCTGGCAGCCTGTTTTACACGGCCTGTATTAGTGCTCCATCATTTAGTTAACTCGAACTAAGCATCATTTAATCCTATTATCTCATTAACACAGCGAATCGCTTTATTTATTTATTTTCTAATCTAAAGACTTATTTCGACGAGCTGCAAAGTCCGATACCTGCTGTGAATCAGAACCGGGAGTGATCTGCTCGTGTTTACTGGGCCGTACGCGGTCCTGACAAGACAGAACATGGTGTCGGCGCCGCTGTAAGAAAACACTCCGTCTCAGGTGTTGTGAGTCGTGAGATGGGCGTTCAGAGGACACTCACCACCAGAGACAGCGGCCTCTTCCACGACACCACTCCGATGAGTCCGGAGAGCAGAACCTGTGAGACAAAACCCAAAACAGACGGTGTTAGAGGTGAAGCGTATGAAAACACAGCATACATTAACAAACGGTGTCCCTGAGGAGACACGACTCGTTCTTCAGGTGAGATCTTCTTACGTTTCCACATCGTTCCTGCTCATGAGACTGAGATGGTGAAGAACCGCCGAGTCGCTGAAATCACGACTGAATTACACTTAAATAAACACAGACACCAAAGGAAACACACTCCTGAGAGCAGTCCGTCTATATAAACCTCCTGATGAACACAAAAACACTTCCAGTATTAAGTCCACATCTTCTCTGACCAACTCTGAATCAACGGATCATCTCCGACGTGCTGAGTTGTGTAATGCAGGTGGGAGTTTTTAGCTCTTATTTCGGTGACCAGCTGCCACCAGATTTGTCACCAGCGTTTCGGCGTGCGGTGGATTTCTTTGTGTATTTACAGGCTCACTCCTCCCACAGATTCTTTTTTTTAATTTTAGCTGGGAGGAAATGAACAACGCGATGGCGTAGCTTGAAGTGGTTCATTAAAGAAAGCTGTACCCGCTGAGCTTCTCTGGCGCTGCGCTGTGCATAAGTGTGATGCCACAGAAGAATCTGAATTTTAAAAGCTATTCTAATGTGTTTCCAGTTTCTTAAAAGGGTGACTCACTCCTTTCACAAACCGGGGAACTGTGCACTTACATCTCATTTCATTAGGCTGCTGCCAGTGATTGAAATGAGCTGGAAAGGCTGCCGACAGTCAGCAATCTGACTCCAGGATGCCCCGGTTTCATTTATTTGGTTGCTTCTTCAAAGGTGCCATATTGTGGCCATTTTCAGCAAATTGATGAAAGTCCCACATGTCCCCAGAACGTGTCCTTCAGTTTGTCAGCTCTAAAAAGATGGTTAATTCCTCCATGATGGTTTAAGATTGTGTTGTGCTGCCTCTAAAACCACAATCTCTCTGAGGTGCCGTACCAAAGGGATCCATACAGCTCTATCTAATGTAAGCCCTGGATGTATCTGCTGGCCACGCCCACTTCAGGAAGAAAACCCTCCCTGCATCTGTGATTGACAGACAGCGAGCTTAACATGGACGTGAATGACGTGAGACTTTGTGTTGCTTCTAATCTCTGGAAGTATCGCTGCGTTCACAGCACAGCGTGGTTTTTAACTCGTGTATGTGCCGACTTTGTCCAGTTATAAAATCAGTATTTCAGCATCGCAGTGCAGCAGCTTGGAAACGAGTGACTGCCGGTTAACATGTGGCTGTAATGGGCTGCGTTTTATTCATGATTTCATACTTGTTTAGTTGCCTGACAGCAGAAAAATATGCAAATGGGAACAACTGCATCGGGAATTCAGCTGTATTTAAGTACAGTACATGTGAACACAGAGAGGAGCAAACAAACAGATGTAAACACCTGGTGAGTTAAACAGAAACATGGTACCACATCCATCCATCATCTCTACACCTTAATCCTCATTAGGGTTATGGGGGGTGGAGCCAGCTGACTCAGGGTGAAGGCAGGTTCACCTGGACAGGTAACCAGTCTATCACAGGGCTACACTTAGAGACAGACAACCAAGCACACTCACATTC